GTCAGTGTCCTCCTAACCATACCCATTCACTCCGGGTTTGTTGGTGATGTCCATTTTGCTCTATGAGTTCATGTTGATCTAACCCTAACCCTAAGTGGAATTTTCCTCCAGTGGTTTTTTCCCATGTATTTTACCAGGAAATATAGATAGCGCAGCCTAGAAAGGTCAGTGCCCTCCTTACCATATCCAACTATTCTGAGTTTTTTTGGTGATGTCTATTTTGCTCTATGAGTTCATGTTGACCTAACCCTAACCCTGAGTGGAATTTTCCTCCAATGGGATTTTCCCACGCATTTTACCAGGAAACATAGATAGGGCAGGCTAGAAAAGTCAGTGCCCTCCTAATCATATCCAAGCACTCCGAGTTTGTTGGCGATATGCTTTTTGCTCTCTGACTTCATGTTGACCTAACCCTAACCCTAAGTGGAATTTTCCTCCAATGGGACTTTCCCATGCATTTTACCAGGAAACTTAGGGCAGGCTAGAAAAGTCAGTGTCTTCCTAACTATACCCAAGAAGTCCAAATTTGTTGGTGATGTCCATTTTGCTCTATGAGTTCATGGTGATCTAACTCTAACCCTAAGTGGAATTTTCCTCCAATGGGATTTTCCCACGTATTTTACCAGGAAACATAGATAGGGCAGGCTAGAAACGTTAGTGCCCTCCTAACCATACCCAAGCACTCCGAGTTTGTTGTCGATATCCTTTTTGCTCTCTGACCTCATGTTGACCTAACCCTAACCCTAAGTGTAATTTTCCTCCAATGGGATTTTCCCATGCATTTCACCAGGAAACATAGATAGGGCAGGCTAGAAAAGACAGTGCCCTCCTAACCATACCCAAGCACTCCGAGTTTGTTGGCGATGTCTATTTTGCTCTATGAGTTCATGTTGACCTAACCCTAACTCTAAGTGGAATTTTCCTCCAATGGGATTTTACCATGCATTTTACCAGGAAACATAGATAGGGCAGGCTAGAAAAGTAGTGCCTTCCTAATCATACCCAAGCACTCCAAATTTGTTGGCGATGTCAATTTTGCCCTATGAATTCATGGTGACCTAACCCTAACCCTAAGTGGAATTTTCCTCCAATGGTATTTTCCCATGTATTTTACCAGGAAACATACTGTAGATAGGGCAGGCTAGAAAAGTAGTGCCTTCCTAATCATACCGAAGCACTCCAAATTTGTTGGCGATGTCTATTTTGCTCTATGAGTTCATGTTGACCTAACTCTAACCCTAAGTGGAATTTTCCTCCAATGGTGTTTTCCCATGTATTTTACCAGGAAACATAGATAGGGCAGGCTAGAAAAGTCAGTGCCCTCCTAACCATACCCAACTATTCTGAGTTTGTTGGCGATATCCATTTTGCTGTCTAATAATCACCCAGTGAATATTGAACAGATTCTCAGCTAATTTTCGATGATCTTTGCCATTTTTATTGTAAATTACTTGAGTGAAGTCTAATCTTTCTTACAGTAAATACAATATTGACCATGTAATATATACATATTGCTTATAAATTATAAATCTGAATCGGATGATCAATTTATCCAAACATTTTTGTGGTTACTATCTGAATTTCCAGATTTTTGATTCCAATAGTCTTTTCAACTGCATTCTTTGACAGGAAGAAATGAAGACCGCATCACCTGTACTGTCAGTTCCTTCAACCTCTTACCATGTACTGATCAGTGTGCTTTCAGTATCAAACATTATGAATGGCTATGCCATTTCTCCAGTGATACAATTGATCAATATCAAAGTGACAGATTGCTGCTTCGGTTTTTGTCAGTAGGAAGTCTTATGATTACCTCAACTTACGATCACAACTGAGCCCAAAATTTGTTAAGCGAGACATTTACTGAGTTTTGGCCCATTTTCTTGTAGCAGTTGTTAAGTGAATCAGTGCAGTTGATAAATTAGTAACCTGGTTGTTAAGTGAATCTGGCTTCCCCATTGACTTTGCTTGTCAGAAAGTTGCAAAAGGCGATCACATGACTTTGGGACACAGCAGTAGTCATAAGTATGAACCAGTTGCCAAGCATCTGTATTTTGATCAGATGCTGCTGCAAAGGTCGATAACTGTGAAAAAAGGCCATAAGTCATTTTTTTTCAGCACCGTTGTAACTTTGAATGGTCACTAAATGAACTGTTTTTAGTTGAGGATTACCCCATATTGCCACTTATTACTGCCTCCTTTTCAGGGCAGAAGCAGGAATTCTTTCTTTTGAAGACTTTCTTCCTTGTCCCTCAGGCTTATAGCAGTGGCTCTTCATCCAGAGATGAACTCTCATCAAAGGAGAGACTCTGAAATCTATTCGAAAGCTTCCCCCCCCAAAAAAACTTGATTCTTTGTAACAAATTCTTCCATTATATTTTTGGTAGACTTCTTCATATTTCTGTCCCACCATCTGATCCAATAATTCTTTCTTCCTCTGTGAACTGGATAATGGATAGGTTTGTTTCTAGCCCCTTTACCTTCTCTTCCAGAAAGGCAGGAAGCTGCTTGCCTATCACTAGCTGATGGCTTCTATGAGGCTTTTCTTTTAAAAGCAAATTGATTGAAGTGAATTGGCCTGCCAGTAACACAAAAGATTACATTTTTAAGTATAGCAGGCTTAATGTACAGACTGAGTTTAGATCAGTGATACATCTTATGTTTGAATACAAAAGGCTGTCACTTCATTCCTACCATTACCAAAAAAATGTCTATATAGAGATTCTCAGTCATCCAGGTCAGCTGAAGAAGCTTCTTGGATGAGAAGCCAAAAATCGTCAAAGAAAAACAAGAAAGTCCAAGTTGCCTCTTGAAAAAGTACCTTTGGGACATTACCAGCAAAATTTGGGAAAATGTTTGATCCAAAATCTAGAAGAGTTATTACTAAATAATAAAGTAGTAATTAGCTCCATACTGCACTTTTCGTATGGAATTCAAGGTTGTTCCATTTTTAAAACACTTTGAGAAAAATTGGTGCTAAGCTATAATAATTTAAAATAATATAATGTTCCACGCTTAAATGTAATTATAAATCAGGCCCTCCTTGAATTTTACACCACTATTTCAGCTACTACTTCTGTTGTTTCTATTGCAGAGAAAAGAATAGTCAGAGGTCAAAAAGGCAGAGAAAATGGACGAGGAAAGAGATATTCCTATAAATTACCTCAAGAATATAATGTGGAGACTGTAGTGATTGCAGATCCAGCAATGGTTTCCTATCATGGAGCAGATGCTGCTAGGAGATTTATTTTAACTATTTTAAATATGGTAAGAAAATATAGATCTTTTCAGCAAAAGGATACATTAAAGTTAAATATAACTTACATAAAATAGAGAATATAGCCTGATAATGAGCTAGTGGGATTGGAAAAGAAAAGGAATCATAGCTAGTACTTTTACACTGACACTAAGATATTGCCGCCTCTCAAGATCCAGCACAAAATTACCTCATAAGATCCACTATTAGCTTGGAATTTATAGAGCATTAAAAAATAGCCAGTTTTTTTTTCCTCCTACTATCCAGACTCATTATTAGTGCCCTGTATATTGAGAAAAAACTGAGTCTAGTATCTTGTTCTACTATTGCAAATATAAAATTCTATGTATTGTTTGATAAGAATAGAATGAAAGCAACGAAAACTGAACTGAAGGTGCAGATGATGCTAATGTCTCACTGCCAGCCAACTGAATATATGAAGAACATATTACAACATAAACATACATGTTTTGTGTAGAATCTTCTACGTCCTGAATAGATTGTCATATTGCAATTATTTGGGAAAACATTGAAAACAACTCAGTATTCCACAGCATTTTGAGAAGATGCCTCAAGTAATCCGTGATTTGTCCTATTACTAATTTTTCCATGACTATATTTTTTTTTTGTTTTCAGGTATTTAATCTTTTCCAGCACAAGAGCCTTGGAGTTCAAATGAACCTTCGGGTGACTAAGCTTGTTCTGCTTCATGAGACTCCGGTGAGAAAGTACTGCATTTATCTCTTCCATGTACAGTAAAAAAGGCAAACATTGATACAAGAACCTGCAGTTGTCAATGGCCTAAAATAAAAGTGAAGTCGAAGGGAAAACCATAGATTACTGACCTTTCCTAAAGAATAAAAACACTGCTTTGTCTTTAAGCAATTTGAGAGAGGGTCAAAAAGGGGAAAATTTCAGAGCACGGATGCATTTCCCAGTACCTGATATAGTATCGGTGTTGAACAGTAACCTTTACATCACTGTTTGACTCATCTTTCATATACAATAATTTAAACCAGTCAATTCTCATTTTTTTCTCATTGATGGAATAATATATCAATTACAGCTGTACAAAAACCATCCAATTTAGCTGAAACAGTCCATTCTTTCTTGGCGCCCTGCAGGGTTAGACTGTTCCGTTTTACTTGCAGTTCCAAAGTGTGATTTGAGAAAGATGAATTCCATTCCTGTTGTCAATATATTTTTGTATATATATGTTTTAACATTTCCCTTCAGAGATGTGGGCTTTTGTATTCTTGGGAGGCTTCCTTTTTATTTTCTCTCTAGGGAAACTTTGTACAAGATAGGGTTAAGTTTAAGACTAATTCCTCTGCTTGACCATGTAGACATGGTAGAGGTGGATGTAGGTGGAAAAGGTTTTTTGCATAAGGAGAAAAGAAGGAATGATACTCCTTTCTTAAAGCTTTATCTTGAGGCTTTGCAGGCCATCTTTTCAGGTGAAGCTGGATTGTGACCCTGTTACTTGTTGCTAGGAGGAAAAATTAGAAATCATTTGAGTGAAAGTTCTGAAGAGATTTATTGCAGCTAGATTGAACAAAGTAAATGCAGAAAAAGAGGCTTGATTGTGAACTTTCGACCTTTTCAATCATTCAGAATGCCCCAGTCAGAACAATCTAATGCTTAAATATGTTCAACTGTTGTATTTTATTTTTTATATTACTAAATGGAAGTACTATTCCATTTTAAATGTATTTGAACATTCTATTATGAAATGACACTTTCATTTGGATTGAGCATCCTCATAATTAGGGTGATATTATTACTTGCCTGTCTGCTGAAACAAACACAAATAACATTCTTTTGAACTTTGAATAAATGCACTTAAATCTTTAAAGTTGTTTGAAATTATATAAAATATAATAATATAAAGCCAGTTTGATATACTGGTTAAGGTGCTCAACTAAAATTAAGGTTAAACAGTCTTCTAAATAGTTTGATTCTGTTGATCAAGATATGCTCAGCAAATCAAAATATTTCAACAATAGAAAATTTAGATATGTAGGATTTATATTTACCTAACTTTATATCAATATTCTTCAATCTCGGGTCTTCTGACTCCTGGAATTTTCTACCAGGATTCTGAGAATTCTCAGAACTCCCAAACATCTAAAGGACACTATGTAGTAAAAGACTACAGAAGAAAATAGTATTGTTGTAAATGTAATGCAGCAATAACCTTTATGGAACTTTGTTCTAAACCTTTTTGGAAGTTTTGTGGCAAAAAATATCTTCATTTAAGGGATATTAGCTTAAACTATTTATTAAAATTTTCAGGCAGAGATGTATATTGGACATCATGGTGAAAAAATGCTAGAGAGCTTTTGCAAATGGCAACATGAAGAATTTGGTAAGAAAAATGACATACATTTAGAAATGTCAACAAGCTGGAGTGAAAATGTGTCACCAGTGGATGCAGCTGTATTAATCACCAGGTACATTTTCCTCTTGTATATTAGTGATTCTGAAGCTCATGCCAAGATTTTATGCACTCTGTTCCAATGAGCTCTTTCTGCAGACAAAACTGCTTCTGTCAATAGATTACGGAAGGATAATTCCCCCCTGTCTCCTCCTATATTTTCACTGCATGGATTTGGTGAAAATCATTTTGGAGAGGAAATATCATTACATCTGATTTGTCTGTTAGTCACTGTTTTCATTTACTTTTCCTGAGGAGGCAACTTTTTTTTCTCTGATTAACTGATTCCAGATGAGAATTCTGAATATCTTAGTTTGGTGTACTTTATGTACTTTGCAGTACTTTCTTATTTACCTATTTTCTATTTATATTATTAAATTATTTGCTTATTTATTTGCTCATTCATTCATTCATTCATTCATTCATTCACAATGCTTATAACCTGCTCCTGTCTGGAGGACTCTAGGTATCATACAGCAAGACAGAAAATAGAAATACGTAATAATAAACTCCAAAATTAATTATAGAGGGATGAACAGTCTCAGTCAGGACCACTGAGGTCCAAAGGCTTTCTGAAAACTATAACCTTGGCTTGCTTACAGAATATTAACCTGGGGGCTGAATCCACCTCAAGGGAGAGAGAGTTCCATAAAATGCTAGAGTCTTGGCAGCTAACTCAAGACATTAAAAAAAATCTGTATAATAGATATGGCAGTATGTGGAGACAGCAGAATAGAAGGGAAAGAACAGGAGAAAATCACTACATATAAAGACCTGCAAATAGAAGTAGACGGGTTGTGGAAAAAGAAAGCAAAGATAGTACCAATAGTAATAGGTCTCTTGGGTGCAATCCCAAAGCATCAGGAGGACCACTTGAACACTAACTGCATTGACAAAATCACCATCAGTCAATTGGAAAAGGCAGCTTTCATCCTGAAACAATATCTTTAACACCCTCAAACAACATCTGCTTATCTCAAGTCCTTGAGGATACGATAGGTAGACAAAAATGCCAAATCCAATTTGAACATCTGGCTGACTGCGTGACAAACGATAATAAAAATATGCATGATGCCTGGATGATCATAAGTACAGTTTTAGTCATTGATAAATAATTTAACTGGCTCTAGGTCTCATAAATCTGAGGCTTTTACTAGTTAAGTTTAAGTGTATTTACACATGCAAGCTTTTAAAATTTTCATTAAAGCATTATACCTGGCCTGATTTTAAATTAGTAGGACAGATGATACTGGAATATTTAAAACTAAGAATAACAGAGATTGATTTAAAAGTATTATTTTAAAGCATAATTATTGTTTTAAATATTATCTTAAATTGTAAATTTGTTATTTAATGACTTATGGTCTGCCCAGAATCCTTGTTAATTGGAGCAGGCTATAAATATAACAAATAAATGAGTAAATAAATATTAAAAATATTGTTATAAAAATAGAATTTAACCTTAATAACTAGCTGAGTTCAGTTCAATTGAAATTCATTGGAAAGTTTTCTTTTGCAATTTTCTTATGCTGTATTATCTTGTCATAGGTTATGTATACCCCCATTCCCTTTTTATATATTTTTATGTATCTGACTGCCTTTTTACTTGTTTCTTTGAAGAGATTCTTATATAATTATAGGTTTTATCTTTAGGAGCTGAATATTCAATTTTTGCATTGCCTGAAGGACCTCTTGAAGTGCTATATTTAATAAGTTTAAATCTTTATGAACAAGGTATAATTTATGGTAATGACTCAGTGTAGTTGCCCATTCTTGCCTGAAATACTTTTCTACCATTAGTTAAGCTTTAGAAATCTATCATAAATCTCTTAAAAGGTTTACTATATTCCCCTTGAATAAAGGTTTGTTAAATCTTTAGTAAGCTTGATAAACCACTTGCAAAAGAGACCAGCTTCTCTGATAGTATAAAAGATTTGAACAGTATTGTATCATATCAATGCTTCCAGATTCCATATATGAGATTATTCCACATGTTAGTTATTTAATTTATACAATTGAGTACAATAATATGCAAGTAGAATTGAAGGGGTTTTTTTTACCTTTTTTATGTTAAACTGACAGGATCAGAAAGAACTGGCTCAGAAGTTAGAAATTTAAGACAATCAGCCCGGAAACCCTATACCATTTCAGACAAATGGTTGTCCAGTCTCTTCTTAAAAGCTTCCAGTGTTGGAGCATTCACAACTTCTGGAGGCAGATTGTTCCACTGATTAATTGTTCTAACTGTCAGGAAGTTTCTCCTTAGTTCTAGGTTGCTTCTCTCTTTGATTAGTTTCCATCCTTTGCTTCTTGTCCTGCCTTGGTGCTTTGGAGAATAGCTTAACTCTCTCTTCTTTGTGGCAAAACCGAATATTAGAAGCTGTGTTTCTATTTAAAATTATTTTTAAAATCACCCTAAATAAAATCCTCCCTAGGTCAGGCCCGCTTGCTGGAAAAGCCATGTCTTGAGGGCACGGCGGAAGGTAAGGAGATCCGGAATCGTCCGGATCTCGGGGGGTAGTTCGTTCCAGAGGGTGGGGGCACCCACAGAGAAGGCCCTCNCGCGCAGAAGCGGTGTTACATGGGAGCGACGAGTCCCTCCCAACACCGCCCGCGCGGCCGCATTCTGGACCAGTTGAAGTCTCCGAGTGCTCCTCAAAGGGAGCCCCATGTAGAGAGCATTACAGTAGTCCAGGCGGGAGGTGACGAGAGCTTGAGTGACTGTGCGCAAAGCGTCCCGGTCCAGAAATGGACGCAACTGAGAGCTAGGTTGGATTGAGAAAGAAAGTGATTGGTCCAAATTGGTCCAAATTTATCTAGTAAATTTCCAAGACTAAGGATGGACTGGAACCAGGGTTTCCCTGGTGCCAGTCCAATACATTAACCATTATACCATACTGATTCTTTAAACTTTGACATTTGCTCTTTTATTATTTATTAATTTACAAGGCTGCCCTTCTTGCCCAAGCGACTCTTTTGTGAATTTAAGAATTGAAACTAAAATAGTGCAAATCTAAACAAATAGGAAATGGCAGCTGAAAATAAAAAACCTCAGAGTAATAACAAATCACCTGGGTTTTGCTAACTTCCTGATCTCCAATGCCAGGCAAACAGACCGGTCTTAAAGCACTTTCCAAAATGCCAGCAGGTTGGGACCAAATAGATCTCATGGTAAAGGGATCCCAAAGAGCAAAAAAATACCATGACTGAAAAGGTAGTATTTCCTGGGTCTCACAAGATAGCAATCTTTTAAGTCAGGGGTCCTGTAACACGTTCCTCCTGCCAGATCTAATATAGGTAGTCCTCAGTTAATGAGAATAATGGGGACTAGAATTTCTGTTGCTTATTGACACAGTCATAAAGTGTGATATCATGTGACTGCACCACTTAGCAACAGCTGTTCTGGCAATCCCAGTTGCTGTTGGTATGCAAGGACCATCCAGGTTGTTAAGGGAGGACCACACATGGCTGACTTTGCAAGTGGGAAACTGGCAGGAAATGCATCGAATCATAAAGTTACTGTGGGACGCTGTGACCAATAATTGCAGATTGGTCACCAAGTGCTTGAATAACGATCCTTAATAACTGCAAGGGCACTGCTACCCCTCTGCTGCTGTGTCAGCCCTTCCAGGTAAACCAGACAGGAAATAACAATGAGATGAGCTAATTCTGCTTTATTATACTGCTACATTAACAGAATCTTGTAAGTCTGAAGGTACAAATTTCCCGTCGTCACTTTTAGCCATTGGATCAACTACTGTGTATCCTTCCTAAATGTCTTCTTTCCTTTGAGTGTTAAGCTACTCAGGGCTCCTCTGTCTTGTCTGGGTGTTTCCTAAGCAGCATCTCTTTCCCTCATTCCGCAAGGCCGTTCCCACACACCATCACACCATTACAAGCTAAGTATGAATACCAGACTGGTGATGAGGACCAGTTGTTCAGCACCATTGTAAGTTCATTCAGTTGCTGAATGACTGGTAGTTACACAAGGACCACCTGTAAACAACTGGAAAAAGTGGTCCTTCAATTATCCTGGCCACTGCTATAAAATGCTGTATAAGTAACAACCAGCATTTTGA